TTTGGGCCTATTTATCTTTTTCTTTCATAACCATGAACCCTGGCCTACATTACGTGCCTTAAAAGTCCCTTCTAATCATACATGGATTTCTAAACAAAAGAGAATATCTTCAGATTTCATCCCGCCCATCAGGATTAATCTTTGTTTCCAAAAAACAATATAATTAATGCATGGTAGAGAAAAATAGCAAAGGGGGGTTCAAGACGTAAATCCTGAATAACATCTTGAAACCAAAGGAGGATTCAAGTTAAAAACCTAAAAAGGCGGCTCGAATATAAAAATTGTGCAACTAAGGCGATCACACAAATTCCTTGATAAGGCATCGCATAATCCAAATGTGACTATGAAAGCTGGGAGTCGGAGAACACTTCCAGTAGAGGAGCATGCAAGCTACCCCATCAAACTTTTGAGCATCAAATGCCAAACCTTTGAGCATCAAATGCCAAACCTTTGACCAAACACAATAACCTGAGACCTTTTTATCCTTTTCTTACTTACCCATTTCCCAAAGATAGCTTTGATCTTGGCACGTGTCAAATAGCTATAATTTATTGAAGGATTAACATTGTAATTAAACATTTGATATCCAATGAACTCTAGTTTTATGATTCGTCTTAATTGTAAAACCGTGAAAGAGACAATATTTTCAAAACTTTCGATTAAACATTTTTCGAAACTCTTTATTGATATTTTCAGAACTTTGAAAATAAAAGAGAAAGAAAAACATTTTTTTTTCAAACAAGACAGTCTCTCTAGAGTGGATCTTGGTAAATGACATGTGACTCTTAGACACAAAACTCATGCTCAGAATCAATGCAGAAGCAAGAAATGAGGAATATTTGGGGCATCTTTTAAGATTCAACATCAAATATTGGGGTATTTTTGGATATTGGGGCATCATTTGGGGATTCAACATGCTAATGCAAATTATCAGACCTTTTTCAGGAGATAAAATATAACCAATTCATGTTACATGCATCTTATGCATACACTTTAGAGCATCATATTTATCATTTTCCACATACATAATTTTTTACAGCTTTTAGAGTCAAGTTTCAACTTCAAGACGAAGGATACTCGATTCAAAAGCACCTTTAAAGATTCATGTTGATTGCTTAACTCAGCAGCAAGAAGCTACACTTCGACCAACTCGACAGATTGAAAGTTTCACTCGAAACAACACAATTTGCTCGAGAGTGGATTTCAACTTCACGACGAAGGATATCTAGCTCAAAGCCAAACTTCACAATAAAGAGGTCTCTACGGTTTCAACTTCATGGTGAAGGGAATTGTGTCCACCCGCAACATACAATACTTGGATTTCAACTTCACGACGAAGGATATTCAAGTCAAGGCTCAACTTCACAACGAAGTGGCTATTTGCGATTTCAACTCCACGACGGAGGATATCGTGCCACTCGAGACAACACAAGTTCAACTTCACAACAAAGGTACGGATGGTTGTCAACAAACAACTTCCCAAATTCAGAGCCAATTTCAACTTCACAGCGAAGGATATTGGACTCCAGACAACACAAGTTCAACTTCACGATGAAGGGACCGCTGGTTTTCAACAAACAACTTCTCAATTTTAGATCCAATTTCAACTTCACAACGAAGGATATTGGACTCCAGACAACGCAAGTTCAACTTCACGATGAAGGGACCGCTGGTTGTCAATAAACAATTTCCCAATTTCAGAGCCAATTTTAACTTCACAGCGAAGGATATTAGACTCAAGACAACGCAAGTTCAACTTCATGACGAAGGGACCGCTGGTTGTCAAGAAACAACTTCCCAATTTCAGAGCCAATTTCAACTTCACAGCGAAGGATATTGGACTCTAGACAAGTTCAACTTCACGACGAAGGGACCGCTGGTTGTCAACAAACAACTTCTCAATTTCAGAGCCAATTTCAACTTCACAACGAAGGATATTGGACTCCAGACAATGCAAGTTCAACTTCACGACGAAGGGACCACTGGTTGTCAACAAACAACTTCCAAATTTCAGAGCCAATTTCAACTTTACAACGAAGGATATTGGACTCGAGACAACGCAAGTTCAACTTCACGACGAAGGGACCGCTAGTTGTCAACAAACAATTTCCCAATTTCAGAGCCAATTTCAACTTCACAGCGAAAGATATTGGACTCCAGACAACGCAAGTTCAACTTCACGACGAAGGGACCGCTGGTTGTCAACAAACAATTTCCCAATTTCGGAGCCAATTTTAACTTCACAGCGAAGGATATTGGACTCCAGACAACGCAAGTTCAACTTCACGACGAAGGGACTGCTGGTTGTCAACAAACAACTTCTCAATTTCAGAGCCAATTTCAACTTCACTACGAAGGATATTGGACTCAAGACAACGCAAGTTCAACTTCACGACGAAGGGACCGCTGGTTGTCAACAAACAACTTCCCAATTTCAGAGCCAATTTCAACTTCACAGTGAAGGATATTGGACTCGAGACAACGCAAGTTCAACTTCACGACGAAGGGACCGCTGGTTGTCAACAAATAATTTCCCAATTTCGGAGCCAATTTCAACTTCACAACAAAGGATATTGGACTAGAGAAAACACAAGTTCAACTTCACAACGAAGGGACGGCTGGTTGTCAACAAACAATTTCCCGATTCCAGAGCCAATTTCAACTTCACGACGGAGGATATTGGACTCGGAATAATGCTACTTACTTGGATTTCAACTTCACGACGAAGGATATCCAATTCCAGGCTCAACTTCACGACGAAGAGGCCACCCGCGATTTTAACTTCACGACGAAGGGAATCGTGCACACAAGCATCGTCCATCTTTAGATTGGATTTCAACTTCATGATGAGGGATATCCAACTCAAAGAAGGATTATCTGTCAACAAAAACCTTCGAGTTCGACTACGGCACATCATTTACATCATAACTCAAGGCTAGAAGGGTTATCTGCCATCAAAATTGTCGAGTTCGATTCCATTCAGCTTGATGACACATCAATCGCACTACTTTCCGGTTGCAGTCGAGGTTTTCAAGTCGAGAAGAGGACTTGGGTTAGCCGTGCCTGAGTGACAAGCAACCATTTTCAAGCAGCATAGCTTAAGTCAAGAAAAAGCTATCTGTCAATGAAGATTTTTGAGTTCGATTCCGATCCAAGGTCTTTAAACCGAGAAGAAGATCGAAGGGCAACGGGAAGCCACATGCTGATTCAAATTCCGAACTACTGCTTCAATTTCATATCATTTCAAGATGAACTCGACTTCACGATGGAGGAGTCATCCGTAACTCAATTCGACAGGGAGTTATTGAAACATCAGAGTCAATTTTCAACTCCACTGATCGAAAAGTGTGTCTTTTAATCTTTTCCCTATCCCCGTTACACGACTATGGGCAAAGAAGGGCAGCTGTCAACACACCTTTCGTCCTACTAGGATTCAAACTCCTAAAAATATGATAGAATTTTGCTAGGATTCAAACTCCTAAAAATAGGATAGAGTTCTACTATTATTTAAATTCCTAAATATAGGATCCACAAGCATTATAAATAGTCATTGTAAATCACTATTGTAACACATTCGGAGGAGGATATACGAAATACCAAGCAAAAAATTACAAGCAACTCGTAGCCATTTTTCGAAGCATTTATATTTTGAAAGGTAAAGTTCATACCTTCGCATGTTATTTTTCTTTACCCTTATTGTGTTTTGATTTCGAAAGAAAACTGAGAGAAGTGTTTTTGGCCGATGAACGGGGGCGTTTTCGAGATCTATTTTTGTAGATCTAGTCCCCGAGGCTTGTGTTTTTGAAAAACTATTCGGATTTTTATAAACGGGTCGTGTAGATCCGCGTGTTTTGTCGTTTTTTTCTTCTATTGGCTTTTAATTTTGACCCCTAATTTATTTTTTATTTTAATTTAACCCTTATTATTTATATGTATATATTTAATTATATTTTATTTATTTATTTATTATAATTTTTTTTTTCATTTTTCTTTGCGTTATATTATATTATTTTCCTATTATTATATATATATTATATTTTTTTATCTATGTTTACTTATTTACTATATTTTTTTACTATATTTTCCTAACGTTATATATATATATTCTTACTTTATTTTATTTTATATTTCTATGATTACTATTTTTTAGTTAATATTATATGTATATTTATTTTTCATTTATTTATTATTATTATTACTATTTAGTATTTTATTATATTATACATACATTTTTATATTTTTATATATATATATTTTTTATTATTTTATTTATACTATTTATTTATTTTTATTATATTTTTAGTTTCTTTGCTCTTATTATTATTTTTCTTTTTAAAAAAAAAACACTTTACATTTTTTATTCTTTTTGTATATATATTTTATCTTCATTTATTTTATTTTATTCAATTTTATTTTTTTTCATCCAATTATTTTATATTTATTGTTATTGGTTTCATTTATTTCTTTGGTTTACTCTTTAGTTTTGTTACTTTCTTTTATTATTATTATTTTGTTTTAAAATCTTATTTTTTAAGGGTATTTCTGTAAACTCATTAAGGGTAAGTAATTCGGATCAAATTTTACTTTTTAATTTAATTTGCAATTTTCTTAATCAAAGACAACTGGAAATTACGTAGTACCGAAAGGACGGTTCAAGGGTGTTAATCCTTCCTTGACCGTAACCGACTCCCGAACCCGACACATCTTTGGAAAGACGCAGATCAGGTAAGAAATAGGGTATCCGATCAACCCATTTGTTTTAAATAAATGATCGGTGGCGACTCCAATCCACATTTTTCAAGTCGTAACCCAATTCCGGAGCCCAATCAAAAGACGGTTGGGACATGGTAGCCCCATGGAAGTGAGAAAGACGCTAAACAATTTGATGTTTAGTCACCAATCACCATGCTCTGGTAGATAGGTGTCATTGGAAGCCCACCTATATTATTTATCCAGATTTGCAGTCTCTTATCTTATGTCAGAACTTCTTGCATATGCAGATGGGTTGCTCAGGAGGACGAAATCGTCTACTTCCTGACGGTTAAGATGAAGAAGAAACTGCCAATCAAGGTCACTCCTATATGCAAACTAGAGGTAGTTTGGTCCATCCATGAAACACTATACAAAAGATATATATATATATATATATATATATATATATATATATATATATATATATATATATATATATATATATATATAGTTTCAGTTGGATAGAAATAACCAAACAGAAACTTTGGAAGTTTTATCCCCACATCAAAAAAGGAGCCATTGGGAATGGAATTTGTACAACTGCATCTAAGTAATGATCTTTTTCTATAAAGATGGGACTGTGCATTATGGTGTTAGTTCTCATGTCACCATCTTTTTTTTAAATAGCAATAGAGGTCCTTGGGGCCCTTTTCTTTGTTCCTTAACTATTGAATGCAAGTGGGGATCATATAATCTAAACTCTCATGCCTAATTTCTTCAATTCATCATGTTTTCTTCTGCTCCCAGTTTGATAATAACATTTGTGGTGCTGTCTCCAATAATATTGTCACCATGATGTCACATAATCTTAAACAGGGTATTGGCTTCTAGATTAGCAGCAATGGAAAAACACAAAATGGATTGGATTTTGAAATTCCAGCCATGGATATAAATCAAGATTGAAATTCTAGCTGATACTAAACAGAGTATTCTGTCTTGTATAAAACATGTAGTGATATTGACAATACTAGATGAGTCACTGGAATGAAAGATACAAGACTCACAGGAAGGCAGACATGTTAAATTCACAAAAAGCAGCTCTGCACTTATTAAGTGAATCTCACCACAAGATCCAAGAGGGAGCTTTCTGGTTCCAATTACTTGGCAGTCGAAAAGGGATAAAAAGGAAAGAAAAACGTTGACTTTCACGTTCATTTGAAAGCTATTTTTTCGGTACTATTTTAATCCTTTAATGCTTAATAAGTGTGTGCAAGAGTTCATTAATCTTGTTTCACACATGGTAGAGCAACTTCTAAAGTTTCTTCGAGTTCAAAAAATCTTGTTGATGGTGTGAACACTAATTTTGTCAGGGTCTCATCCACCAGGGGTGATAAGAATTCCTGTTAAAAGCTCGTAATCATGGAAGCAATAGCAACACAAAGAATATAAGAATAATAGAGCCTGCTATGAAACATAAGCGGCAACAAAATCAACATTTGCATTATTTGAATTATTTGGTTTAACATGGTCATGAAAATAAATTCCACCTTGATTAAACAAAGATAGTAAAGGCAACAACTCCTCGTTAGACAGCTTTGAAGGCCTCTTATCTTCAAATCCACCTTTTCTCAAAATCCCAACAATTTTCTCCTTGAACAAATTCATTTCCAGATAAGAGCTAGAGAATGCAAAGCTATCCTCCCAATGGGTATCTTCTTCTTCATTGTTGCCATCATAATACTCATTACATTCATAATTATGGCCGATTAGAGCATTTTCTCTATTTGAGCTTATTGTTTCAGCCAATTTCAGCAGCTGTATTACCTTCTTCCTCTGCTTAAACGTGGCACCTAGGGTCTTATTCTTTTTGCTAAAACAAGTCCTTGTAAAGGCACACCACTCGTTAAGGTTAACATTGGGGATTTCGACTTTGGGTCGGATTATTACAACAGAGGAATCCACTTTAGGGCAAGGAAGAAACTCCCTTTTGCTTACATCCATTACGAATTCAACATCAGCCACCAACTTCACATTCACAGCCAATCTGTTGAACTCCGAGTCGCCAGGCTTAGCTAGTAACCAACGTGTAAACTCCTTTTGAAGAAGCAATGTAGCACTCCTAAAGAGGTTTCCTCCATAAATCAATTTAGCTATAAGGGGCGACGATATCCCATATGGAATGTTGGCTACAACAAGATCGAATCGAGGAAACTCCGCCTTCATTGCATCTTTACATATAACCTGCAAATAGACATTTCATTTTTATACGTAATAAGAAAAAGGGTATAAAAAAACAAATTAAACACGAACAAGGCTTAACACTACTTCCGGTTCTCTTAGGCATTTCATCGAACATGTAAATTTCAAAACATACACGGAGCCTATCTTGCAACACTTAATCAGCAACACGTTTGTTGAGAATATCAACCATTCTTCTATCAATTTTGAAGGCGAAAATCTTTTCAGCAGCCTCAAGGAGCTTGACAGTAAGGTTTCCGGTGCCGGGTCCGATTTCTAAGACGGTGTCAGTAGGTCTTATGTTCGATCTTTCAACAATAGCGTCGAGAATCCGTGTGTTGGTTAGGAGATGTTGGCCTTTGCTCTTATACAAATACAAATGGTCTTGCTGGTTTTCTTTAGAGTTTCGAATTTCTTGGTTTTTGTCTTTTCCTTCATCATATTTGCCAGAACAATGTCTGGATCTTACCCTGAGATTTCGTTTAGAGTTTTGGAAGAAAATTAACCCAGAAAGGTAGGTCGGCGTTGATTTCGGGTTGAAAAGCATTTGACTTTAGGATTAATGATTATGATCCTGATCAAGAAGTGCGACAATAGTATAGCTGTGGTTAACTGGTTATGACTTAGGAACATCAACGGAACAGCCCAAAAGCCTACAACACAGTATTCGATAGACCCAGAACAAGAGCTTCATGCTGCCATATTGGCCCATTACGGCACCTGGATAAATTATTTAGTCTATTAGGACACCCAAACATTTAATTTGAGATCTACAGTAAATTGAACAGTTCCCATAAAAATCGTCAACATGTATAATTTTTAAAATTTTGACCATTGGTAAATGGTTGATTTTTTTTTTTAAATTTCAATGAAACTCGTCACGCTGGTGTGACGAGTTCCAAATGCTATTTTCAATTTGAAAAAACTAGTCATTGGGTAGAGTAGTATAAATAGAAGTTTGGGTTGGATAGATTTTTTCACTTGTAATCAAACATTCTAATGAGAGCAAAAACTTTTGTGTTGAAGAATTTGTGTTGAAATGGCATCAAGAGATGAAATGTTACGTATTGATGAAGTTTATATTTCGTCGATCAAGCTGACAACGGTAAGTTTAATTTGTTTTATTTCATTTTGGCGTTTTTTTATCGTGAACTATGTAAGGCGGCCGTAGTTGTTAGAGGAAAAAAAGCGGATGTAGCGGGTTGTTTAGTTTTGCACCAATCATGGGCGTAGCATCGTCTTCCGTTTATGACGCCTATTACATCCACTCCTATGGAGTTTCCTTTCACCGCAAGGTAAATTCATATATTTAAAGTTTTTATAGTTTATAATGTTTATTTAAATATTTTGAAAATGACAATAAATAACGTAATTTTTTTAGATGACGACACCGAATAATCGATATGAAGTTGTCTGGTGCAACCAAAGGAGATATTCGAATGAGAATTGATATCGCCGGTAGACATGCGGTAAAATTTCATATTTTTTGCATTAACTTTTAAATTATAATAGTAATTGTTTAATTATACTAACATAATACTTTTGACAGTTTAATTGGATGCCTTATTATGAGTCGTATATCCAACGGTGTCTACCGCAAATATTCTTTGAAGGAGCGGACACATGGTGTGCCATAAGACCATTGCTCCATTTCGCAATTATTTAGATCAATGCCGCCGATAGAGTTTTGTGACAATTTGGGTTTCACCAACCCATAGAAATGTCAATACATAACATTGACGATTTGCATAAATTAGATGTGCGTGGGAAGCATAGCGAAGATTGACCGAGGAAACATGTTACATTCATATATGATCGGCAAAATAGACATTTACGATTGCCAAATCGTTCTAAGGTACAACCCGAATATTTTGATTTCAATGTTTCTCCCTACCTCCAAAATTATGAAGCAAATGGGAAACCATACTTGACAACGCCGGAGGAGCGGTCCGAGTGGGAAATAATGAGGTATCAATACTGTCAAAACAGTATTGATACTACTTGTACAAAACCGTATTTTGTGCTCAATTCAAAGTAAACTGAACTTTGAATTTTTTTCAAAACCTTGAATAAATTCAATTCAAGTCCAAAAAGATTATGCCTTAATTGTTATATCAAAATATAGTTCAACATTTTGTAACGCCTATTTTAGCATCTAACACGATATTTTGGAAGATGTGGACAATGTTTTCTGTTATGACTTTCACCTCCGTAGTGGCCACAAAGTTTGGGTTAACCTGACTCTCTTTGAGGATCATCCATATCGATATGAATTCGGCTAGATTTAATTCGACCCCGTAACTTCCTATGCAATCGAGGATTTGGCAACCATTCATCAGAAATTGTGCACGTAGGCCAATATGCTTCATTTGGAAGGTACTTGAAGTCACAACTATAAATGTTGCTCATAGTGTGCAAGTTATAACAGTCGTCAGCATATAAGTATGAGTCAACATTGATGTGCATACATGCAGCAACAACGCAAATGCATAGGAACCTAAAAGCTTAAAATCGACCACAGTAACACCATATTCTATTCATATTACTAGTGTATGTTGTAGAATTACCTCCCTCGTATGGTCGAACTAGTGCTTGGACAACGAAATCAGAATCAAGTCTAGCAAAATTGTGGACAAACATTGATGTCGCATGTGTTTGATTCTTTTGCATTGTATTCTCTAAATTTGGAGCCAAATTTCTCCCATCACTGATCATGGCATCAATTTGTGAACTTTTGTCTGCCCATACTTTACCCAACCTAAAGTAAATCTCCCTAACAATACTTGCTATCGGGAGACGTCGAGTCTCTTTCAGCACTGAGTTGATACATTCAGCAAGGTTGGTAGTCATATGGTCGTAACGTCGACCCTCAACATCATATGTTGTGACCATCTCTCCCTTGGTATTTTAGCTGCGAACTCATACACATCATCTCCGTATCATCTCAAATTTCAAGCCGTGCACGGGAGTTTGGTTGGAGTAAAGCCTACCCTAAAAAACTGTAAATTAAATGTTATTCAAAACAAACATTAATGAAGAAAAAATAATTAATGACAAATGTTAAGGTACTTAACCATGTTGATAATCTCCTTTTTGATCTTTTTATGCTTAAACCTCTCCATTGCATTCGACGCGATATGACGTATACAATATACATGATATTCGTGAGGTGGCGTTCATCTATTTTCGAGTCTACCAATTGTGCTTAACAACCCAGGCGACTGATATGAGATCATTCAAACCCCTTCTTGAGTGACAACATGGGAATTCAAGTTAGAGATAAAGAAATTCCAAGTTTCCTCCGATTCATTTTTAACAATGGCGAAAGAAATGGGGAAAATATTTATTTCTCCATCTTGTGCAACGTCTATCATCAAGTCTGTAGAACCCATACAGAAAAGTGCCATCGACTTGAATAATTTGTTTACAAAATCTAAACCCTTCGATAGCTGGCTTAAACGCCCAGAACAAGCCACAAAAAATATCTTCCCAAGGATAATGTCTCCCTCAAGCGTGACTGGATGATAAGTATAGTACCTAACAATGGTTCCAGGGATGAAAATTTTCATTGCTTGCAGCAAACGTGGTAGCTCATTATATGACTGATCCCAATCGCCATACAACAGGGGCATTGCTTTCTGTTTAGCCATCCTTGCCTTGTAATAAGTCGAAATATAACCAAATGTATTCTGAATGGATGCCACTAACACATAAACGGGCACTCTTGGATTTTTTTCCACCAACAGTTTCACATAAGAGCATATGACATCTGAATCTAAATGTATGTGGTCTTGTGTCAAGGAGGTCATTGTACATGCATGCTTTTCATTGAACCTTGTGACTTCTCACAACATCTTTCGTTGTAGGTATGATACTCGTATACTCCATTTACAGCCAACATCATGGTGTATACACCTTATGAAATAAGTTTTTTGATATGACTCCGCGATATAGAATTGAAGATGAGCTTTGATACAATACTTCTTGATTGCTAGTTGTGCCTTTTTTTTTGTTTCAAACTGAGACCCAATAGCCAACTCAGATGACCGTTCCTCTGAAGAACCCTAATGGGCAACACATAACTCTAGCATATCAAATATTCATGATTCTGCATAGTATCGTAGTTAATGTCACGCATTGCAACTGCATGATGATACCGAGACAAATCATGATGATTGAATTTAGGTTGAGGGCATGTCCTTGCCCAAACATTTGAAGCATTCTTCAATCCTTGATATCGTGAAACAACTGCTTCCATACATCCGCCTCAACATCCAAACCTTGTCCCTCTGAAGCAGCCTCAACAATATCGGACTCATCAACTAATGTTGTGTTGTCATCGTCTACCAACGGAAAAATGTCTTCATCATCCTCGCTAAATTCAACAAGGCTTTCATCGAACCTGTCGAAACGATTTTTAACCCGGTGGGGAAGCGAGATTTGGAAAACCGCATCATTTTTAATTATTCTCTTAAGATTACAATTTTTAATTAAAAACAATATGATTTTAGAAAACCTCTCGTTTCGAAAATTTGGGAATTCATTCACGATAAAAACACAGGTTCGAAGAGTCGCCACCAATCTTTGATTAGGGTGTGATTGGGCACCCAAAATTTTTTTTGTCATTTTAAATAAAAATTAATTTTAATTAAAACAACAAATTTAGGTCCGTGTTATCAGAAAATGAGTTCGGGAGTCGGTTACGCGTGGGGAAGGATTAGCACCCCCACAGCGCCCTAAATCGGTACCTCGTCGATTAATTAATGTCTTTGCAATGAAATTGACAAATTTGATTTTAATTTGATTTATGATCCCCAACAAAACAACACATGAATTTTACAACATTCAAAAACGCCAAAATAGATTAAATTAAAATTACCAAGCTTTTAGAAAGATAAAGAATATTCGATTATTTACAAATATCGAGATCAGATCTTAGATAAGTTCTAACTATCTTTTCTCAATAAATTAAATAGCCGAATATTTCTTTTTCTTCCGTTCCCAAATTTTAAAGTGATAAATCAATTTCTTAGGTGTCACTGATGGGATACACTTTTAATTTAAAATCGTCGAAAGTGGATATCTAATCAGTTAAGACAACCCACTTAAAATAATTTTAAATTAAAAGGATATTACCCTTAATCAAATTATGTAATAATTTCGAGTTATGCTCATGAGGCTATCATGCAAATTATGCAAAAAAAAAAAGATGTCATGTAGAAATTAATTAAACATATGATTAAAATAAATGAGTAAATAAATCTAAAGCTAAAATTACTATTAAACAAAGATCACAAAAAAAACCTATCAATGCATTACATATACCAAGATCAACATAAAACTGAGACCACCTATAAAACTAAAATGAAAACCGAGAAAATGTTATGCCAAATATGCAACATCACATAAACTTAAAATAACATACCCACATGACTAAAATGTGACATGCAAAAACCTTAAAGTCTAATATCTAAACAACAGAAATTAAACAAATCAACATTTAGGACGAAAATTAAATGAACATAAAATAAATAGACAAAATTAGAA